AATTTTTTATGTGATTTTAAATTTGTAACAAAATAACTTAATTGACAATAATTTATTTTATACAAATTTGTATCATTTGTTAAATAACTTTTTTTTATGCAAACAAATTTTATAAATTCATTAATAATCCAAAAGGATATGCATAATTTTAAGAATCTTATTTTATACTCTATTATTTATTTCTAGTAAATTTAATTTTTTTGCATAAAAAAAAGTAAATTTAATTTTTTAATTAAATAAATATATAATGATTAATTAGTAAAATTTTATATTTATCATTAATTAAATATCACTTAAATAAAAATTTTTATTTAATATATATTATAATCATCTTTTAAAATAAAAACAAAATATAAATAAATACATTAAATTACATTTTTAAAAAACAAATAACTAAATTTAAACATTTCAAATAAAAAACTAGATCTATTAAAATTGAACAGATAAAATCATATAATTCATTGAGTTATGCATGTTCATTCATACAGATACCCTATCTATCTGCAATTACAATCATAAGATCATGTAAATCAATCAACTTAATTGAGAGCTAATTTCTCGACAGGATTATAACATTTGCATGATGTTCCACGTGACCTTCTATGGGTTAGGTTCACGTCTGTTTTCTCTTCCAAAAACCAGCTCCAATTATTCAATCTCTGTGATGAATATGGTCCCCCAAATTAATAAATTTCGTCTATTTGCTACTAGCCGGTGGCTCATGGTTGACTCCCAACTCTTTGCTTCCTTCAATTTGAGACCAATTATAAATAAACCAAGGATTAACTTTTCACCTAAGCTAATAAAGCCAAATTCTTCTAGTAAATTCCTAATTCAACATGTGAAAAAAATCTAATTTAAAACAATCATTAAAAATAAATAAATATTTTGTAATAATAAAATTGATCACAAAAACTTAAATTTTAGATATAAATTTAATTTATAATAAAAAATATGAGTTTTTATCAAGGTTATTAATATCATATCATATCGGTCGGTACATATCAATTTTTACATTAAATCAAAATGGTATATGATTTAATTTTGTTTCGATCAAATTTCACTTGTTTCGATCAAATTTCACTTGTTTCGTCAAATTTCACCTGTTTCGATCAAGTTTCGATGTACCGATCGTATTTCGACGTATCGATCGATACACAAAATTGCTTGGTACAATTTAATTTAAATTTAAAGAGTGTAAATTTCATTTTTGGTCCTCAACTTTAAAGTTTTACATAATTTTCATTCGTTAACTTTTTTATATACTTTTTTAGTCCATTCTTCATATTTTTTTTAAGTCCTTCTATTAATTACTTTGTTAAGTTTGTCTAAATACACACATTTTTAATCCCTTAATTTAAAGTGAATGGACGAAAAATATATATATATATTAAAAGTTGAGGGACTAAAAATGATCATTTTAAA